TGTAGGGAGAAGGATGACTTTATTATTCTTAAGAGACTGGCAAGAATTGGTTGCCTAGCAGAAGGACTCTTTGAACTGTTATGGAACTGAAACCTTTGGGAGAACTTAGGAGCCTCCCTGTTTTTTTAGAAATAGAAATATTATTGGCGGTTGCTCTGGCGTGCCAGTCATGCTGTAGATATGTATGCAGTGCCTATACTGCAAACTGGAATTCAAAAATAATTGTCAGAGAAAAATAGTGAAAGAAAATAAATTCCATTCTTCTTAAACCTACAGGTTTGCAAACCATTGTGTTCATTACCAACAGGACCCAGGATAGGAGAGTGCAAAGACGGCTATGAGTAGTCCCAGTGCCAAGCCAACATGTCTGTCACAGCCTGTGGTGAAGAGTGTGATGGTGTATCGCAATGGAGACCCTTTCTTCCCTGGGCGGCGTGTTGTTATCCATGAGAAGAAGGTTTCCAGTTTTGATGTCTTTCTAAAGGAAGTGACAGGTGGTGTGAATGCTCCTTTTGGGGCTGTGCGGAATATTTATACACCCCGTGGTGGGCATCGCATTCGTCAGCTAGATGAGATTCAAAGTGGAGAGCACTATGTTGCTGGTGGCAGAGAAGCTTTCAAAAAACTAAAGTAAGTAGTCTTATGTTCATTCCAACCAACATGATATAGAAACTGAAATGTGCGATCTTTTATATACAAGTCCTCCAAGGAGGGGTGACAGCATTATTTTTCCTTAGATTTAAATGTTTTAACTAGACAATGGTTCATAGGCCCAGTTCCCCAGTCTTTCTCTTTGTCTTTCCATGTATGTATCTTTATCTCCCTATACATTTTTTCTTTCAGAAATGATGGAACATTTATATGAAAAGTACCATTCCAACATCATTAACAATTTTGATTAATTGAATTTTGATTTAAAGCTACCATTTGGAATTCTTTATATATCTTTAATGTCAGTGGTCCTAAATGCAGTTGCTATGACCAATAAAAAAAAGAGTTCGTAGATCTAGTCCTAAATCTCTGAAAGGTGCCACATTACCTATTTCAGTATACATACCAGGGTGACTAAAATACAAAAGTGGACTGATAACAGTAGAGGACTGATAACAGTGGAACACACTGGTATGACAGACTTAGCTTGTCATGCATGCTACTCCTGATGAAAGTTCATGGATCATTAACAGAACATTTACGGCATTGAAGCCAAACTACAATTCCCATAATTCGTCATGTGAAATAGAAATGGGGCTTATTATAAAATAATGTAAACCAATATGAATTTAGAAAATAGGTATGCTTTAGTATAAGTTTGCCCTTTGTTGCCTACTTTTAGAAGTAAAACTTGCTGATGTTCTTGTGTTTTTCTAATATGTTTTTAAAAACTAATGTCAGAGGTAATATATATATACTGTATATATACACACAAACCCTTTTGTTAGTTCCAAACCTGCACTTTGCATTGTCTTTGGTTTAAACACTATTGCCTATAATCTTCTCCTATGGCTAATTAATTCCAGTCTAGTTAATCAGTTATTAAGAAAAAAAAATCCAAATTCTCCACAAAATTATACTTTTTAAATTAAGCAAATATAGTACATTACATCAGTTTACAAGTATATATTTATATATTATATATAATAAAATATCTTAAAATGTAGCGTACCCCATCATCATATAATATTAATTCCTTGTCATTATTACTTGCTGGAATCATAATTCATATTAAGCTTATAATCACTATAATGTGGCTTATTGGTTAAGCACTTGTCTAGTGAATGCACTAGTTGTCAAACCTTTGTAGTAATTAAAAATATAAGGAAATATTCCTAAACAGCCTACTAAGAATCAAGTTTGTCACATAGATATAATGTTTTGGCTGGTTATTAGGAAAAACCATATATAAGAAAGTATGAGACAAGAAGAAAAAGAATATTCTGGTAAATATAGTATTGAATAGCTGAAACTTTACAAGATTTTTCATTTTATATTAGTATATATCCTCTTTTGTTTTCTTGTTTTTCAGCTATTTGGATATTGGAGAGCCAAAGAAAAGACCGATGGAAAATAATAATGAGGTAATGTATTTTACATATTAATATAAATCTGTATTACACTTGAAGTATAAACAAAACAAAATTTTATTGATTTAAATTTCAGTCTGCTCTGATTTATTTGGAAATCAAAGGCACATTTCTAAGCAAACGTCTATAGTTGGGGTCCCCAACCCCCGATCCGAAGACCGGCACCAGGCTGTGGCATGCCAGCAACCGGTCCGCACAAACAAGCAAAGCCCCATCCGCGGGATGCAGGTAGCACACAAAACCATGCCCCCTCCGGTCTACGGAAAAACCTTTCTCCACAGAACCGGTCCCTGGTGCCCAAAAGGTTGGGGGCCTCTGGTCTATAGCTTTGTTTTATAAAACAGCATTTATATATTAGATTAAAGCTTAAGATAATTGTTTGGTCTGATTTATTGAGATTTGTGAACACAGATATTTTTGTTTGCCCATGTAGCAATAGTAAAACAAATAGTGTGCTGTCTGAGCTCAGCAATATGCTCTAATTTTTAAAGAGATTTAGAAAGCGAAAATCTAGAAAACTGCATTGTCAAACCAGTCTGATTAATAGATGCTATTTTTCCTGTGCTCCTGCTACCTGCTCTGTATCAAGCTAGGATATCCATCTCTGAGATGGAAGCAAAGAGATGGCTTTCTGTTAATCTTTGCTATCTTTAATAACCTTGTGAATTTTTAGAGCCTGGATACTTGAGGGACTTGGCAGTTTACAAATAAGACAAAGCAACATGGTAACTCAGTTCATGCAGGTGCAATGCCAAATTGTTTTCCATATTGTAACTTATGTGAGATTTCTACTGCTTGAAGTGGGCTCCTGGAAATTGGGACTTTATGGTCTTGAGGTGATGGAGAATTGCCTGGCTATTCCTCCAAAGCCAGGACTTGATTTAGGTTAAAATTGGGATTTGCACCTAATTAAACAGAGATCCTAAAACCCAGACTATGATATGCTATATTAATCTGCATCAAGAAATAAAACAGCTTTGCAAAGCGGTTTGTATTGTTGACAGATTATGATAGTGGCTGTTGTTCAGCTGTTGAAAGCTCTTATCGCCTAAGAATGAATTGTAAAATGACAAAAGTTGAAACAGGCAACTTTTGAGTATCCTATACAAATATGTTTTATATATTCTGAGGCATTGACTTGACTATTGATGTTTGGTTTCACAATCAGGGGAACCAGAAGTATAAACCATAATTTGTCCACCACTGATATACGACAGTGTAAGATTATGTTAATATTCAAATATATTCTGCTCTAGATTTATACTTTTTTAGATTTTTTTTGGTTACGTTGTCTTACTCTTTTCGAGGTCTTTTTGTCCCTAGAGAAAAGATTTTAAAGAATGAAATATTGAGAACACTAAGCAAATAGAATATCTACTGTTATTTGGTACAATATATGTGAGAGAATGAAAATGTGTCTTAAAAATAAAGAAGTATTGTAATTTGAATGACTGTTTTGTGTGAATCAAAATGTATAATATACTCATTTACATAATATGGAGGATAGATGGAAGGATAATCTGAAATTTAGATGAAATTAAAAAGTAATGCAACGCTGTTGGATTATTTAGATACTTTTTTCTTTAGAATTCTTTCCATGATTATTGCCTCAGTTGTAGCACTGATAAATTTTGAAGATGAGCACTTAAATAATACTAATATTTTTGCCTCTTACCAGTTGTCATAACTTGGGGTTAAAAAGTCATTGTGATTGAATCTAACTGATTTATAATTGAGAATTGTTTTTAATTTTTAAATGGACATTTTAAATAGGATTTAAAGTGGTTTACCTATAGAATTTTATTCATCATAGGCACAGCTAAATTCCTTCAGTATTTAGAAACATATGCTTTGCAAGCTTTTAAAGGAATGGTATGATTTCTGAAATGCGTTAACTCAATTATAAGATAATTTATCCTCTTTGTAATAGATCTACAGATACACAATTTAGCACCAGATTAGATAATTTCTGTCTTTGCAAATAAAAGCTTCTGTTGGTGATAGAAGAACATGGCATTTTTGGATCTTGTTCATTACTTGAGTTAAAAATTTAAATAGGATTCCCCAAAAGGTCTTGAGATATATTGTAGGAAATACCATCAAGTCTGGAGATTAATTCAATTTCAGTTTCTGTATTGCTTCTTTGATTTCATCTTCTGTTATTAATTAAATAAGGTTTCCTCTTGCTGCTCTGTGAATTTTATGAATAGCATTGAATCTAAATACTCATCAGTAATTAGATGTCTATTTACTAAGTAATCTCAAGCAATCATTAACAAATTGCCTGCCCCAACATCTCTTTCAGCTTGTCTTCAAATAGTGTCTTTGCCACATTTCAGTTCTTAAATGGATACAACTTCTGCAACTATTTACCACATTAGTCAATAGCCAACCATCTATATTTTGAGTTGTCCATAAGCAGTACTTTCATTAACTTGAAAACTGGAAGTACTATATAACCCTTATGATTATCTAATGTCTAATTAGCTGCCTAATTTTGTGACAGGTGTTAAAAAGCTGTTTTCTTTATTTTGAATACATTTTGGATAATTTCCAAAGCTATATCATGTTAGCTACCTTTTTCTCAGCTAAGATTTCCCAAAGGATGTATCTTTCTTAGGGAAACTAACGTGCCCGCTCCATGTTTATCACAGTTGCTATTTTTGTGCACCTTTTCTCTACTGGGACAATTTTTTTTCTTTTTTTTTTTTTTTGCTTCTTGAAAATTTTTATTTTTTAAAACATACAATCATTTATAAAAATACAATAAAATTTTAAAATAGAGAACCCCCCCCTTTCCCTCCCTCCCACCCCCACCCCCCCTCCCTTCACTTTCCAGAGCAGAATACAGGGTTAAAAAAAAAAAAAGAAAATTATAATAACTTTTTCACTTAACAATAGTGTATATTTGCAACTTACTGAGAGAGGGGAGGATTTTGGAAGTACTTGAGCTTCAAATTATTACTTTTATAAATGTGTGCCTGGTAACCATCATGATCATTCATTCAGCAACCATTTGAAGTTAGAATAGTGCTGAATGAATGGTATTTATGACTAATTCTCAAACGTTATGCCCCCTCCATGCTCACATGATCAGAATTTTAACCCTTGGCAGCCTGCCCACATAAGATCTCAGAGGTGCTGTAACTTTCCCCATCTGCCTATCTTCTCCCCATCTTTGCTGTTTTGACTGCCTTACATTCTGCTCTGAAAACACCCATCCCACTATGCCCTCTGTTGCCCCCATCATTCCCAGACAGATATTTTCTGTCTTCTTTTCCCTGATGCTGCCGAGGTACACCTGGGGCTCAGAAATGGCCAAACAACAGGTCATTAACTTCTATAAAGCTATCTTTGTAATCTTTTCACTGGTGTTGTGCTGTTCTTCAGGTTTGCTCAGAGAGAAGATAAAAAGTCTATCTAAATAATGAGCTAGTTCCTTTAGTACTCATAAGGCAATTCATTTTGTCCTGTAGATTTAAACTCATTTGCAGTAAATATATATTCTTTGACTGGGTTTCTATCAATCTCATCTTCTTTCTGCCTCATGGAACAGATGCTCTCTTCTTAGAGAAGACTGAATCAAAATAAATGTTGAATAGTTCCTTCTTTTTTATCTGTTAGCAATTTTTCATTTTCCCTGAGCATTTATGTACTGATTTTTTCCCCCCTCTTCCTTTTGTTCTGAACATAGCTAAAAAAATCCTTTTGGATTTCTTTTGTATTCTTTGCAAATCTCAGTTTAAATTGGTTGTAACTCTTCTGATACATTTCTACAATTCTTAACGATCTGTACGTAATCTTCCTCTTTTCATCTCATATAGGTATCTTTTTTATAAAAAAAAATATTTCAGGGCTCCAATAAATCTTTTGTGCAGTTACTTTGGCTGCCTCTACTGTCCTACATTCTTTTCCTCATTAGGATATTTCCAGCTGTGTTTTTAATATCTCCTTAGAAACTCTCACCAATCTTGAGTTCCTTTTCCAATTAGCTGCTCTTGCCATGGAATCCTATTTATCATTGCTTGAATTTGTTGAAATATGCTTTTTTTTGAAACTGAAATATGTGTTCAATTACATTCAGCTTTGGTTTCCTTAAAATCAGGAATTCCAGCATTATATGACTGCTTTCCTTTGAGCCTTCTGGTATTCTTGCTTTCTTCTTTAACAGTGAAAATATTCTCTTTTGGTTATCATCAAGTCAGGAATAGCTCTTCTTTATCCCCTGAAAGAAAAGCCATCAGTAAGAAAAGTAGGCAATTCTGCAGAATATTTAGCAGAGTTTAGCTTCTAGTAGTTATCATGAAGCTTCCCATCACTACTACTTCATGTCTCTTGGAAACATCTGCAATAATTGTTGTTGTACCAATTGTTTTGTTTTGGATTATAATCTTCTCAGAGGATAATTGTTAATAACAGCCTGACTATAAATATAAAGACTGTAAATATATGTCATTCCACATGTACAAAAAAAGTTGCTGCCCGGAATCTTATGGGAACCTCTTGTTTTGTAAGATGCCAGAACAACAATTTTCTTTTTGTAAGACAATTTTTTTTTAAAAAAATGACATTCAAAATAATTGTTGTTTCATGAACGCTTTGTGCTCTTTTAAAAAAATGCATCTTTTGAGCAGCACTGTAAATAATAAACAAGAAAATATTGTAATCTTACAGGAGAGGGAGAAAAAAAACACTTAATTTTTATATGATTTGAATAATCCAGCTCTTAACTACTGCATGTTTTTTAAAATGTAGCTCGGTAAGTTGTTTGGTAGTTAGTATCTTGGTAACCTAATGAGCACTGCAAGACATACACTGTTATTCTTTTGAAGTGAATACCTTGAGGATTCAATGTACTGTAATATTGACCAGAATGCCTGTGAAAACAAAAATGTTATTTTTAATTTACATGCGTACTGATAATTGTAATTGTGTCTGAAGAAATGATTCCAACCTTCAATAAAATTGCATAAGCTGATTTATTAATGTACAGTACATTTAGAAACTCATAGTAATTTCAACATGTAAAGTACATCTCATTATGGTGGACATGTCTGTATATTTATTTATTTAGAAAATTTATATGGCTGTCCAACTCACAGTGACTTTTGGTAGTTTACAGAAATAAAACCCCAATATAAAACTCAATAAAGCAACCTAGAACTAAGAAAAAATTTCCTGACAGTTAGAACAATTAACCAGTGTAACAACTTGCCTTCAGAAGTTGTGGGTACTCTAACACTGGAAGTTTTTAAGAAGAGATTGGACAACCATTTGTCTGAAATGATATAGGATTTCCTGCCTGAACAGGGTATTGGACCTATTCTATTCTATTCTGTTCTGTTCTGTTCTGTTCTAGTCTAGTCTAGTCTAGTTTAGTCTAGTCTAGTCTAGTCTAGTCTAGTCTAGTCTAGTCTTTCTATTTCTATTTCTATATTTCTATTTCTAAATCCCCGTCCCTTTGGTAACAAAAAATCCAACCATTTGATGAGCTCCATATCATCTTGGGATCCTTAGGCACATTGGCAAAACCATGTCTTCAGCTTGCCTTTCGAAAGAGAGTCAAAGTGGGAACCAATCTTATTTATGCAGTGGTGATATTCCACAAGGAGGAAGCCACATGAAGAAAGACCTTCTTCTTGGTCCCATCAGATGACCCTCATTTAAGAGAAGGGATCCAATATATATCCCTACATCTTTGTTCTAATGGGTTGAATAGATATAACTGGGAAAAGATGGTCCCTTTGAATAACCTGACTCCAGATCAGGGATTTAAAGATAACAACCAACACCTTGAATTGAACCTGGAAGCAAACTGACAGCCAATGCAGAATAGAAGTATCCAACTCTTGAAGCAGAAGCTTGAATCTTGTCTCAGAACAGGCATATGCTATATATGTTATATGTGGCATATTGCAAAGTTATGACCAAGGTGCTAAATATATCATTTTGATTTTTACAATCTTGGTTAATTAACATCACATTATGATACCATAATCAAAAGAGCTGAAAAATATTATAATATTAATACTGTTAATTTAACATTTAATTTAACATTTAAAATTTAACATTTTCAGGCCATATTTTATAAACGGAGTTTACTTTACACTTCTGTTTGTACCCTATTGATTGGATAGTTATGGAAGGTATTTATTACACATAACAAAATCATTGAGGAAGTTACACTTTTTGCACCTTATTGATTGACTCAGAGCCTTAATGAAAGCCCCAAATGCTAAAGGCTGAGGCCTGAGAACGTGAGAGTAATAATTAATAACATTATTTAATTTTATTAATTGTTCTTTAAAATAAAAAATAATTTTCATTTCTGAGCAATGTATATCTTGTTCATTAATATTGAAATGACGGCATCAAGAAAACGTTGTTAATAAACATGATATTGGATGAACTGCATAACACTTTATATACTATATGTGGTGTATTGCAAAGTTATGACCTAGATGCTAAACGTGTTTTTTTTTTTTTTTGTGCCAACAGTTATCTCTGGAAGATGTAAGTGTCTAACCTGGATATTTATATGTTTAGTATTAAAATATTGCCCAAATATTTGACAGTCTGTACGGCTGCATGTAAAGTATCCAACTCTTGAAGCAGATAGTAGATTGTAAATATCTTTAATAAAATCAGGATGAATGTCATCACATGTCACTATGAATAATGTCTGAATATATGTACATAAATTGAGAATTGTTAATGTATATAATGACTTTCCTACATCCAATCAGTGATGTAGGATTTTGTATGCATAGTCCCTAGGAACTGCTTTTTCATTGGGAAACTGATTTTAGACCTTTCTTTTGCCCTGCACTCCTCTTAAAATTTCACTTTGCAGTTGTAGACAGTTAATCACAGCTACTGTAGAATTTCAGAATTCCAGCATGCCATGGATACCTCCATATCATTCAAGGCAATATAGATGTGTGCAATACAGTATATTCCTATATCTTTTTATTTGAAGGGTTTTTAAAGTATTTTCTATTTATTGGCATTTATTTTGGGTCTGCTGAGCTCATACTGGGAAACTGTGTTCCTTTTTGGTTTTACTGTAGTTTTTCAAACTGAGGTCTGGTGAAAAATAATAGTTCTTTTCCCACAGTATTATGCAAAATATTTAATATTCTTGCAGTATTTTTTTTTCTTAATCACTACTGCCCATGAGAAATGAAGAAGAACCCTGGCATGAATTGTTTAAACTGTACAGGTAGTCTGCGTTTAGTGATCATTGTTGAAACTGGTAACTTGGTCATTAAGTGAAGTGCTCACTAAGTGAAACCATGACTGTGTTAAAGATCTTACTTCACAGTACTTACTTCACTTTACAGACCTGTGAAGGTTGTAAATGTGAGACTTGGTCACAAAGTTTCTTTTCTGTCACAATCATAACTGCAAATGGTTGCAGTGTGAGACAGTCACTAATTGAGGATTACCTGTAGCTTTATTTACTGTTTCTGGCAAGGAAGTTAAGGTCAAAATTTAAAATAAAATATTGAATCAAGCAAACACTTTTTAAAATGAATATGTCATTTTTGAAATGGCAGATTGTCTGAAAGGTCATTTACTTTGTTAAACCAACTTGGTTAGCGTCTTGGTGGAAATTTACCAGGAAATACTATGGTTATAGCCACATTTGGAACTAAAATAAGCAGAAACCATTAGCAAACTATTTCCACATTGTGGTTTGGTAAACTGCTTGCAGGTGTCCATGAAGTCACCAGAAATTGAACTACACTAGAAAGAGAACTTACTTTTTCTATTGTATCTCAGATATTGGAAAAACATTCCATATTACTTTTGGGGCTAAAGTACTAATTTACCTACAGGTAGTCCTCGACATACAACCATTCGTTCAGCGACTACTCGAAGTTATGATGGGACTGAACAAAGGGATTTAGGACTTGTGTCTAAAGTTATAGCCACTGCAGTATCCATGTGCTCATGTGATCAAAATATGGGCCATGGACATCACCCACACTTACAACTACAGGGGTGCTGCAACTCCAGCCCCTCCCACCTCCCTTTCTGTATGTCCTTTGTGGTACCTATTGCCCTATGCTCTGTTGCCCCAGCTCACCTTTACTGTTTTTGTGTTCCCATTACTAATGAGACATGCCTGGCATGGCTGCTGGGCCAGTCCAGGACTGGCTTTGCATTGTAAAGAAGAAAAAAGAAGATGTTTTTGCCTCCCCCCCCTCTCTTTTTCTCAATGAAAGCCAGTCCTAGACCCACCCAGCAGCTCTTTGCAAAGGGACCTGTTGGCATGGTG